AGGGATTTTTTTATTTAACCACTAATTGCGGACTTCACAAATCAACTTAACAGAGTGGTAGAAATTATATGTTTGTGATCACATCATCATCCTTGGCCACAGCAAAAACACCAAAAATGTGTGCTTATTTATTATTTGGTTATGTTCATAAACAAGGATACCCAAAATGTCAAGGCTAAAGCCTCGAATTGCCTAAAAAAATGGTTGGTCAGTAGTCCTATTTGAGATAGCCTTCAGTCAATATTCGCCAAATAACAGAAGCAACGTGAGCCTATTTATCATAATGAAGGGAGGACAACTATTATCAGACCTTGAAAAGTACCATCAAATAGATCCACTTTGTGTAAGCTGGTGGAGAAAGCATCTGTTAGCAATGTACGCTAAACCAGTGCTGACACACTGTTTTTGCTTTTAGCCTATACTGTGTAATTACAGAATACTACAATGTAAACCTTCTGTAAATAAACTCAAGGTGACATACCCTCTAAATCATAGAATACATTTTAAGTCTTTTACACAAAGACTTGGAAATGAAGCAGATATTTGCACCAATCCAAACAGTTATTACTATTGTAAATATTGTGCGACAACAACTCAACACTGACCATAGTGTCAGTACAACATGTCTGAAGGTATCATTATTTCTCTGGATAATAATATCTGCTAACTGACTTAAACGTAAACTAGTACCACAGGATAACATCACGTAGCTCTATTTATTAAAAAGAAATGTGTTGACACTATAACCAAGACGTTTAGATGTCTTTTCAGTATCAACTGGTCCAGTTTCTTCTGTGACTTCCTCTGTTTATGTTATAACATATACATATATTGTGTATAATAAATGGCTTATATTGCACTTTCGTATAGCTACCAGATAATCATTCTAAAAATTGCACGTTCAATTTCCACTTGAAGTACGAAATTATGATATAGATAGATTTGGTGAATTATTGTCAATCAGGCCGCGGCTGTCATGCCACAATATTCACTTCAACACTTAACCAGCAACTACAGCTGAGAGTGAAAGTACATTCAAGAAATAATTAGCCACGAGCTGCTAGGGACGTTTCCTTTCCACTCTTCTCACCTTTACCCCCAAAGATTTATTAGACAGTCCTAAGCAACTCCTCCTTGCTGATTTACAGAGATCATTTCCCATTAACCAATTTAATCAAGAGAAAATTTCAAGGACTCCCTTCAATGTTAAGATCATCGCTTCAAAGACCAGCTGTTAACACACTGGAAAGCAAAGCATAATGAATGAATGATGAGATTCATCAGTGCGGTTGGTAAGAACGAGAGGCTATCTGTTTCACAAACATTTATCCTGTTGGTGCATGTGGCTTTGACCTCGACGTTGGCGAGCTTAACTTACATCAACAGTCTTACCTGATGTTCAGGATGGCATTGGTGGGTGTGGGCAGGGAAAGGCAGGACGATTCAAACGTTTTTTTGGAGACTGGGTGGTATAAGACAAGGTCATCCGCTTCCACCTTATCGTCAGAAATAACAATACGATTAGGAGAGACAAACATAGTTTAATCTGTGTCTTAAACCTGGCAACGTCAGGCCTTTACTTATTTGGGAAGTGATGCCAACGAGCACATTTAGCGTAAGAGACTTTAGGTCTCACCAAAAAAAGATGTGGAGGAGTTGACATGGTGCTTATGTCTGTTCCTAAGCCATCATGTCCATCATGCCAACGTTGCCTTTGGTTTTACAACCGCTCCATTACAAATTCAGATCATAAAAATGTACAGCTAACTAGGTCAACCCAAGAGTGAAGGAGATTACGTAAAACATTGATATTCATGTTAGATGACCATGACATTTAGATAAAAGTGTATTTGATGCATGCTTTATTAACAACGGGTATTGGTATTGGGTAAGTTTTACTTTTCCCAAAATGCTAATTGAAGTAAGTACATATACAAAAGTTTGTGAATACAATATTCTTATACCACTTTTTCCTAGTGTATTGAGTTTGACATTTAGAACAGCCGTCCTGAACAAACGAACAACTTAAACAGGATACAGAAATGACCCACTGAACCGGCTCCTTCGACACAGAATGAACACTCGAATGAGTGACCCTGCAGCGTGAAAAAATAACGTTAGCGGCTACGGATTGGGACTCTGAGGAGATTCTTCTCATAACTCAGATGGTATTTTACTGGGAGACTTGGGCTTTAATGGAGGTGATCTGAGGGCATTTGAGGCCTTAACTAGCTATTTGGTTCCGTGCAAATCGGTCTAGTTTTTCTCTTGATTGAGTGATTTCGCGGACCCATTGTTAAGATCTGGTGGTGTTTGGACCCGGCTGTTGCTCATAACTCAGATTGTATTTTGCTGGGAGACTTGGGATTTGATGGAGGTGATCTGAGGGCATTTGAGGGCTGGCCCATTCCATTGTTTCCCTCAATTGCCTAGTCACATGTAAATGCAGCCTAAAGACTGATTCCAATTCATCAATATTGTGCATGAAGTCACTAAACTTGCTGAGCCATATCAATGCAAATGTTTTTATTTCAGGGACGTGCACTTTTCCACAATCAAAAGCTCTGAATTAAACCGTTTTAACAGATTCTTATTCTTATTTGCGTGATTATATTTTCAAACGCTTAAAAAAAAAAAAGCCAGACAATTGAGGTATAGCGCAAAAATAGCCTAACTTTCACTTATTGTCCTAATGAAGGAATGGACACCAGTATACGCAATGACAAGACAATTGAAGTGATGATATATACTTTCAGGCTGTGTCTTAGTGTGGTATTTTTACATGTTAGCACACTTTATAGGAGTGTTACACTCCCACCTCCGAGATGGTAACACTAAGAGGAGTGATGTGTGCGTGTGCTAGGACAAATGGGACACGAACAATGGAGGTTTTTGTTTTGATGATTTTGTGAAAATAATGCTTATAATAATAATCTGGACACCAATATACTGTACATATAACATAGAACACCATCGAAATTAAAAACAAAAAAGCTCTACTCTTACCCACCCGCAGTCTTCGCTAAAGCAGGTACATTGCCTTAGTAACCCCGAAAGCCTGCACAACTTGTGGCCGCCAATTCCTCCAGTTTTCAGCCGCCAATGAATTACAATAAAACTAAAAGTCAATCCTTATCTGACCCATTGCCTTCAAACTACTTCTGTCTGAACTTTTGTTTGATCACTGTATGTATCGTCTGGTTTTCATCCACCCCTCTTTTTACTTTTGCCATGCCCATTTTGCAAACTGGATCATTTCCACCTGTACTGCTGTCATGCCTAGTAACGTTCGTTGAATTATTCTATTACCACAGTCATAGAACTTGTGCACACCAATGACCTACCTGATTGATACACTTTAACGTTTTACATGCTGTATATAGACTCTCCTTTGTATTTATATAGCTGTTACTGCCATATCAATGCTGCTCAACTGACCTCATCCTGCATTCACTGTATAATGACTGTCCACTTGATCCTGTATTGCCATGTAGAATCCCACTGCTATTTGCATTCTTGTATTCTGTGTTTTTATTACGTAACTTTATGTTGTCTTTGTCACAGCGTGGAACAGCAGGAACTAAAAAACGGAGGTGGTGTTGAAAAATCAAAGATTTAATTAACAAATAATACTGGTAACATTAGCCTCTAAGCTTAATGAACAAAATAAGGTAACAGAGCCAAACAGGTCTCTCAAGATTAAAATGCAGCATGCATGCGTAACACCAAACAGTACTGAACAACTGGGTAATGGGGAGGGGCTTATATACTTATATATTATATACACACACTGTAATCAGGACATAGGAAACAGACCAAGACAGTCCAGGGATGCGTTCGAGTGCAGTTGGGATTTAGGACAATGGCAGCTAGAAGACCGGCGACGAAGAGGGATGATGCTGGGACATATCTGCAAGGGGCGAGGTCCCAGATGGAATTGTGACAGTCTTGCATGTTCTTTTGCTTTATCTTGGCCAAGTCGCCATTGAAAATGACAATCTTTTCTCAATCATCCTACATGGTAAAAATGTTGAAAAGGGGATGTGTTCCTTATATATATATAATGACTAATTACTGTCTTATATTATATCTAAAGTAGTAGTTCGGAAAGGAAGGTATGAGCCAGGCACTGGAACAGATAGCGTCTTAGGTGTTTTAATGATTTCCATTTACCAACGCGGTATGAACAAAAGTAATACTTAATTATAACGGTGCCGACGCATAGCACACACTTTGGTGTGCCGGAGGACATAGTGTCTGATCAGGGCCCCCAATTCACGTCAAAGGCCTGGAGGGCGTTTATGAGGCGCCTGGGGGTCTCGGTCAATCTGAACTCACCCCGAAGATAACGGGCAGGTGGAGAGAGTTAATCAGGACTTGGGGAGGTTCCTGAGGTCATACTGTCAGGACCGGCCAGGGGAACGGACGGAGTTCCTGCCATGGGCAGAATATGCCCAAAACTTCCTCCGCCACGAACCTGACACCTTTCCAGTGTGTCCTAGGTTACCAGCCGATGCTGACACCGCGGCAGCAGAGCCAGCCCGACACCGCGGTTCCGGCAGTGGACAGCCGCTGACCAGAGACACAGTGACGCGCCCCTCTATGCCCCAGGGGATAGGGTCTGGCTCTCGACCCGGAACCTCCCCGTCCACCTGTCCTGCCGGAAGCTGGGTCCGCGGGTTGTGGGGCCGTTTAACGTCCTGAGGAGAGTAAACGAGGAAACTTATCGATTTCAGCTGCCACCTGACTATTGCATTAACGCCTCATTTCATGTCTCTCTCCTCAGGCCGGTGGTGGCTTGTCCCCTCCAGCGATCTAGGGTGCCTGAGGTCCCTTTGAAACTCTGACTTTTAATGGAACTCTGACTTTTAATATCATCCAACGATACTGGCATGGCAGAAGAGAGGGCGAGAAAGCGTAATTATATGATTTTGTCAATGATTAAACAGTTTTTTAAATCAAATGTAAAAATACAAAATCTCCTTCGTAACACCGACCTGGGGAGAAGCTGGGGATTGAACCCAGAACATCAAACATACAAAGCATGTACCTTACCACTTAGCTACACCAACTGCTCCTCCAACTGTTGAAGAATTCGGAACCGATGTCTCCAACCGATCCGCGGCTTCGCGGAGAAGCTCTGAAATGCTTTTTTGCCTCTGGGCCACCTTCGAGGTAGTGTGACTTGTCAACGTAGGTGGCTCATTCTATGACAAGCGGTTAGACTTAGCCACTACTTCTGCCTTAAAATGTTGGTTAAGAGCTTTTCACCAATAACCCACTTGGCTCCGCCCACTTTCATTGATTGACATATCTCTTGTGATTGTGAAATACGCTTTTGAATATGGCATGAAATGTGAAAAAGTGTAATGAACGTGAATTAGGAATGAGGAAAACCACGAGAGCTTCACGAATAGACATTCAGGCCTAAGCAATCGATCTGGAATTAACAGTGAAAGTAGATTGAAGATCTAGCAGTTAACAGTTATTTCAAAATATTTTAACAGACTTTTTTGTGGAACACATTAATTATTTAAATAACTGTTCAAATACACAGAAATGAAATAACATTGCTTACAGCACATACCGTCCACAAAAAATCTTTTCTACCTAACACATTTCGGGGCATAGTCTAATGTGTGCGCATAATGTATAGTCAACCCTTTAGGGAAAGTGCAAAAAAGCGAGATATTTGACAGCCTTGTATAACTAGTCTTATGGCCTGGGGGTAGAATCTATACAGGGTCCAGTCGCTAACAGACTTCTCATCGTCAGCATCTGTGAGTGACAATGAGAGTGAGTGACAAGGAGGTAGTCATACAATAGTTAAAAAAAGAACAAACATTTCCTTCAATACTTTGAAACACGAGTTTGGAATACAACACGTCCCTTAGTTTTACTTTGCTGGTGGAGTAAGCTGGACCATGACAAAGAGGCACAGCAGGTGTTCAACTCCCTTCACGGTCAGTAATGATTTCTTCTAGCAGCCTCTCCCACACCATGATTAGTGTGCGTCCCTCCTAGACTTTAGTAGAAATCACAAATAGGGAAGGAATAAGTGCAAGATAGATCAAGATCAGAAAAACCCTTCTTATTGCAATCCTGTGGCTAACAAGATGCCTTGTGAAAATAGCCCTGAAGTGCCAGTTGAAAGATGAATTATTCTAAGAAAGGGATTTGGAGTGATTTTGACCTAACAGGCAGCGTTTAAAAGGAACAAAACTCTCGGGGTGATCAATATGACTGCCTGTCATCTCAAACTTTAAATGGAGACTTCCCACCAGTATGCTTTTCCCGTACAAAAAATAACACACTAAAAAGACGTAAAATATGTAAAAAATACCCTCTTTATGAAGCGGCCAAACGATTTTGCTGAATTCTTCTAATGCTGATTAATCTGCACGCGGCAGTTATCTCCAATGGTGCAATAGTTAGATGAATGTACAGCTTTATGCATTTCTGTGTCAACAACGAGGGAGGGATAAATGTCACAGAGCATACAGTTTGTTTTTGACCAAAATAGCTTCTAGCTTAAATAGGAATGACCCTCACTCAGTGTCAGGAAAATGGGCAATGAGTGGGGCAATCGCTAAGTAGGGCAACTGTCATGAATCTCTGTGAGCTACCGGTTAGTGTTATCGAGGTCGGTCTGAGGGAAGGGAGGAAGAAGAAGGGGCGGACCTGGAACACACTGACACAGACAACCGTGGTGCTATCGCTGTCACTAAGGTCAACAACGAGCCCCCAGGCACTAGAAACATTCCCTCCCTTCACTATGCCCGTCGGCCGATCCAACAGCATCCAGAAGTGTCCCCACTGACCACTGTGATCTTGAGCCAAGTGGAGGCTAGCGTGTTTCTCCCTCTGCCCGGTCAGACCCAGCACCTCTTGTTCACTGGCCAGCTGGCCTTGTTCCCTGTGCAACCACGGCCAGGTCTCCTCCTGGTTCCGTATGTTGTCTCTTTTTTTTGCCTGTGATGATGGATGCAGACCAAGCTGAGGTCTCCAGGGAACCTCAGATGTTGAACCAAAAGGGGGTTAGAGGTGGGAGGCTGGGTGTTGGGGTGGCGGCTAAGTGAAATAGCCTATGATCTCAAATTCAGGGGCCAGCCTCTTAGTCTGTTTACGACCAGGGGCTGTTTTCTTCAAACCACTGGATCAAGTCTTTCTACTTAGATGATAAGAGGGCCCACATGAAGACCTGAAACTTGGAAGTGGAGAAGACCATTGAGTCGAGGCAAATCAGGCACCTTTGTGCTAATCCAAATACTTCCAGTCTCCATTTTACTCTGGTGCAGTCTATATTGCGAATCATTGTATCTTTCCTAATATTCTACGGAAACGTTAAGTACACGGTCATTTTAGCCAATGAGCCCTTATAGTTATCGATCGAGTCATTCCGACTATGGCTAGAATGGAAACCAGAAGGGAGCCTGAGACCCGCTCCCACGTGTAATGGGAGGAAATGAGCAGGCCTGAGGACATGTAAAGCATATTTAATCTCATCAAGCGAAAGGCTTGTGGCGCCCCATTACAGTTCCCATATATAGTCTATGTCCCCGACCCCCTCCATTACGATTCCCTATAATTCCAAAAGTCTTAAAGGTCAATTGCACAGCACGTCTTGATTTGTAAGTCCCCTGAGAATCCTGTTGGAGCCAACCGAAATTATCCGCACATGCCAATCATTGTCATGATTCAGCTATGGTCAATACACACAGATGGACAGAGTTCTCCATAAAACCAAGAGAGGGAGACAAAACATGTCAATGGTTCTCTAGTCAAGGTAAAGGACTCCAGCGCTGTCAGAGAGATATATGAGACAAGACAGCCAATGGCAACAGTACCTGAGAATACATTCATTGAATAAGAAGTAAAAAAAGCAAAGTGAGCGAAGCGGTATGAAAATTAAATGTCAGTTCTTGACAAGGATGTCTGAGAATTAAGCTGGCAGTGAAGTGTGACAGAAAGTTGTTTGGTGACAAGGCAAGAGAAGGGAAATTGTCAACACTTCCCTGCCACACAAAAAGTGCTGGCAACAAGGAGCCTGCTGCGAACAAACCTGAGAGAGAGGTGACAGAAAGACATTGAATTAAAGAGGAAGGAGAGGGAGGGAGAAGATGGAGAGAGGGGGAATGAGAAAGTTGCCATAGAAAAAGAGAGGTTGATGTGAGAAAGAACAAGAGAGGAGGATAATAGAGAAGTTGAAGGAAAAATGTTTAAAACAGTCTGCATACGTGTTTGACATAAAAATAGACAAATGTAACACATAGTAACTATGTTCCTAGTTTTCTGTGTTAAAATGAGGTGCTTTTAAACACTACTGGCAACTAAGCTTCGCCCTTTTTAAAGACAAAAAAACACTAACTGGTCTGGAGTTACGCATAGTTCCGAGAGACAACTTAATCAAGAGTTCTGCAAAACTCTGCCAGAGAAAGCTGACGATTATATATTAAACATAAACACAACAGGCAATAATCACACGAGCCATATGGCTGAAGGCCACACTTATAAAATGGATACCAAGATTTTATTTGTGAAAATATATGATTATAAATTAAGTGATCACAAAAGTGCAGTTACAACTTCCAACATTAAATCTACTTCCACCACTCCTGTAACTGACTATGCATAAATTAGTTTTGAGTTGAACATATATTGAAAACCAAGTCTCTAGTTGTTGTTTTGAACTTAATATATAACTACTTTTTCTACTTTAATTTTTGTCGTGTGTGGGAATGTTCTAGTTTTACACTCAGCATTTGCCCCAGGCACTAGCAGTGTTTAACCAATAACTGCATATTGCTGTTGTGATGAAAATACATAATGGGTGAAACTATTGGAGTGAATGTTAGATTAGTTATGTAATTTTTGTATTTACTTTTTAGAACATCGTTTGGCATATATTTAAAAAAAATTGATATGTGTTCATTTTCCAGGATCATTTACACAATCAGACCAAAATTATATTTGCAGCATCGCAATCATTTGATAGAAAAAACATAACCTACAATATACAATTACTGCAAGACAATAACATGTCTCTTGTAAAATGCGTTGACACAGTTGAACACAGTATTCTGAAAGTATCTCTATTAGAGTAGTGCTAAAACCAAAGTTGGAAGGGGTTTACTTTTCAATTATGACTAGCCTTTAAGTGTGCCTACATATTATAGTGTATTACAAGCAAAATAAGATAATGGGATACAAAAACAAATATACACTATTATATTACATTGGATCCGACTTTATAGCCATTGAACGGTACAAGTTCACAGCTAAACTTTGACGTCTGCGTACGGTCAAGGAGGAGGATTTCAGAAGGGGCGACAGGGACCGACTCAGAGATACTAAGTGAATGATGGCTTTTATGGTGAGAAACTAAAGCAACGGCTCTCTGTGATTGACACTGCTTTGGTGTGGAGAGGGATTGAACAAATAACAAATTACAAATGAAAATCACCCAGGCCTCTGACGATCTGCAACTTGCCACCGACCTGAACCAGTTTTACTGCAGATTTGAGAGACATTGGAGCAGTCCTGTCTGCACACCCCATTCAGCTGTGTTCTGCCACCATCACCAGACCCCAATCACCAGGGCTCGCCCACAACCAACAATCCCAATTGACACCTCCTCTGAGACTACAATGATAACAATCAACGTCTCCCCTGAAGCCACAATATGACTTTCTATACTGGAGAGGGATGTAAACAGATTATTTATGAGTCAAAACTCAAGGAAGGCAGCTGCTATCTGCTGTGTTCACAGACATATTCAATAAATCATTGGAGTCATGCAGCGTTCCAGCCTGCTTCAAATCTTCCACCATCATCTCAGTCCCCAAGAAACCAAGGATCACAGGGCTAAATGACTACAGACCAGTTGCCCTGACTTCTGCGGTTATAAAGTCCTTTAAGCGCCTGGTGCTGTCAACTCAAGACCATCACTGATCCAGTACTTGACCCACTGCAGTTTGCCTCTAGAGCCAACAGGTCTGTGGACAACACGATCAACATGGCTCTGCACTTCATTCTCCAGCATCTTAACTTCCTTGGAACCTATGCCAGAATC